TTTTGTCAATGTCAACGTTTCAATGCATTGACAATTCCATTTTGTCAATGTCAACGTGTAAATCCATTGACAATTTTATTCTGTCAATGTCATGGTGTCAATGCATTGACAATTTCATTAATGTCAGAGAATTTATAATTATCATTGATAACCTAATCACTTATTTCAAATGTCAACTGTTCCCGGTTGACAGTAAAACCGAATCACTACTTTTATATAAATACAAGCTTCCGCATAGGGACTACATACCCTTATATTGGAGTTGACCCGAAACTATAAGGCTTATACAAACCAAACTTGCACAAATGATGCATCAAGGGATGAAAACTCTCTAACTTGCTTCAGATGCTGGATTTTAATAATTACGTTTCATGATGAAGAACTAGTTTGAATTTTTTTATATAGGTCTTTTCAAAGTATCAAATCAAAATTGCATAAATTTTGCATTTTTGGATGTACACTTTTCGTTGGTTAATTGTGTGACTTTGCCTTATGTAATTAAAGACAACATTCGTTGAGGTGAGCTCTGTAATGTTTTCTAATAATTTAAACATCTCATTTCCCCATTTCTGCAGGAAAAAAATAAATAATATACTTGAAAAGTTTAAGTTTGAAATTAAATTCAAAACATACTCCCTGTCAATTTAAAATACCACTGTCGGCACATGTATATTTTGAAACAATATTGTTTAATGATTGTTTTGATGTTCGTTTTAAGACTTATATACATATGTATCTGCACTTTAGATGAAATAATCAAGTTAAAATTTATGAGAAAAAAACCCTTTCATATGACATTTCTTTGATGATGCAGACTTTACATATTAATTCAGTTTACAAACAAGAATGTTGGACAAAAAGGCCACAAGATTTAATGACCTTGAGGCTTCTTCAAAGAACTATATGCGGTATATTGCATATGTTTGCCCCCACAAAAGTCAAATTTTGAAAACTTCCTGAAATGTGCTGAATTCAATAAATTGTACGAGAAATATAAGTTAACAGAAAATATTATGGTTCCAGAGCAGTGTATTCACAATTTCTGTTTTTATGACGTCACAAAATTTTTATATCCTTTTCCAGAAAGAGGACAAAATGGACAAAATTTCAACAATTTAAGCTTTAACATTTATAGAGCGCATGTGTGTTCAGGAACAATATTGACATATTTCATTGATATTATCATTCTACACATTATATCAAAATATTTATCCTGAACACACATGCGCTCGGTGACTTTTATTCAAAATATCGACGAAATATGTACATTTTTCTGCAAAATTCATAAAAAAACTGAAATTACGTCATATTTGTGACGTCATTACGTACATATGACGTCATTACTTATGAAATTATTCTGTGCTTTGAAGTCAGCATATACTCCCCTGTTTAAGGACTTAATTAAATATTACTCCATCAAAGTTTGATTTTGGGGGGCAAATGTTGGTTAATACCGCATATAGTTCTTTATGAAATCTGAAAGCAACTGAGTCAATTGATTCAAAATTTCAGGCAAAGGAAGTTAAAATAGAGAGATGCATGATGTAAATAAAACCTACTTGTTGTACCTGATGTGAAGGCATACAGATAATCAAAATAAATCTGAAATCTCCTTTCACAGACAATAACTTAGTTTCAAATTCTTGTAGCTCATCTCTGCAGAGGCAAACTGTCTGATTGGTTACCTTGAACACCCATAATGCTCCTTGAGAGAAGTCTAGTATGGTGTAAAAAATCTAAGTCCACACTTATTCTTGCTCATACCATACTGATCTTCACTTATAAGTGAGGTATATGTGAAATATTCACTGATATGTAGCTCAACTGTACTTATAAGTGAAGTATTAACGAAATCCATTCCTCACTTATACTTACTTTGACTTATAGTACACTTATAAGTAAATTTCAAAATTTATAAGTGACTTATAAATTGCTAATAAGTGGATTATAAAAAACTATAAGTTTCTATTAGTTTTGTCTGTAAGGGCAGTTTTCATCAGAAAGACCGACATTGTTCTACTGTGATTTTCAAGCATTTGTTGAAATCATTGGGATTTGAACCTGTGACTTAAAATTAGCCACGTACTTCTTAACTCCAAAGCAAAATGCTCTAGAACCACTGCAGATCTCATGGCCCTCAAAAAAGTACATTGATTGTCTGTAAGCACTGAAGGCTTATGGAAGGTTGAAAAATACACTCGGATGTCCGGTCTTTGGGTATTTGAGAATCTTGTCTTTTAATTTATTCAATTTATATAAATGTACTCTGGCCTGAGATATTTCACAAGTTCAACTGAATAACAGCTTTTAAACAACATTTGTATGATACTTAGCATTTTGTTCACAAATCGCTTTCTTTTATACTTTTCTTATTTATAAAGGTAATTTTCCATTAATTTTAGAATGTATTTTCAAAGTTGCTGTCAGAAAAAAAAATGTTACCTACCTACCGACCCCACTTGAGAATTTAGGGTTGGGTTGAGGGGAAACAAAGAAATTTTTACTTCCGGCCTAATCGCTTTTTAATTGATTATGCCAAGCCGATTTTTACTGATAATTGAGTCTAATTTTTCTCTGATTCCCCATCGCTATAGTTGCCTGCATTTTCCATTTTCACAGTTGTTTCATTGATAAGTTTACAAACACTCAGAAATTAGATTTCTATGATTTATTTATGATGTGTATTCCTTTAAAGAATGAGTGCACTTTAGTACGTCATTTGGAACCTTTTCGGCTACCCATTTTAATCTTTACATTACAAAATATCGCTAAATTGATTTATGATTATTGTGAAAGCATATGCTTTTGATATTTATGCCTTGAATTTTTTGTCATACATATTTCTATAATTACAGACAATGCTATTGAAAAGAACATGTATAAGCCTTAAATTCCGGAAATTTGAACGGGACCACTATCAAATTTAATGTACCTGCAAATAGACGTTTAAATCCCATGAATGTGGAATGTAAACAATAGCACATATGAATTTTTCGCAATCAGATGCTACACTATGAATTTAAATGGTAAAGAGAGAGATTGTGTAGTTTCATGGTGCACACATAAGAAATGATTCCAGTGTTCCAGTGTTTAGGGATGGGGTAGATATCTCGCCCTGCAGACCATAATACTAAGACGACATGAGCCTATATTTACTAATTTCACTACCAATATCAAAATTCTTTCAAAAAACTCCTGACGAAAAATACACAGTAAAATAAGAGACATTTGATCTTCGAACCTTATCAAAATTTGCGCTGAAATCTTCCGTAGTTTGAAGTTGGAAGTACAATTGATACTGTCCGAATAGGAGCTTCAAATGACAAACACAATGAAATGTTCAATGAAAGCATTGGCATATCGAACCTTGGAATGTCACATTAGTAAAGTGATTATAATATCAATCATTGACGCTCAGGGATCTGTCAATTTAGTGGCTAACTTGATGGTAGTTTGGAGACTTTTAAAAAATTAGATATGAGCCGCAACTTGGCCAACATTGTCCTTTGGATATGTATAAGTTTTAATTAAAATACACATTCTCTGCAAATGAGACCAATGGCCAAGTTGCGGCTCGATGTAAACAATGTCGTTGAAAACTGGTATGCATATGAATAACAACAGAAATGTGACAAAACTGTTAGACCCTTGTCTCAAAAGCTAGTGTCGCTCGGCATTATTTAGTACTTTCATGTAATATAAGATACCAAAACCTGCTCTTAAGACATTGTTTAATACCTATAAAACATCAATTTCATGAAATTCGGGATTTTATTTTGCACAAAACACTGGGACCCAACTCTCAGAGCTTAAGTGCAAGGTAAAGTCTACAAATCTGTTACTAAAGGTACTATCTGAAAACTGTCAGAAATGAAAACATAAAAATGTCTGAAATAAAGACAAAATAAAAAGTTGATAACACACCGTGTTACACGGTGCAAAGAAACGCTGACTTCAAAGATGCCGGCATGGTTGAGGTCCATGCTAAAGCATGGACTTTCGGTCCACGGGCCCCGTGTTTTGTGAGGAAAACTCGTGGCCTGTACTGTAGGGAAAATAAAAATACATTACATGACTTCTGTAGATTCGTAATTATATGCAAGGAATTAATTTCTGCATAATTTTGTGAGAGGGATCACTCATGAAATAATATTACTTGCTTTTATTTTTGGGTTACTGAAATCCATTTAAATTCTACTGATCAACTGTCCATTCGAATTCTTATCCTTGTGATTTGATGTTAAAGAGCTATTACGCGATAAAAAGTACTCGCAAAAAATGAGGGATTTACAATATATACAATTTTTTGTTTTACTAAATTTAATGAAATATATTCACCTAAATTATGAAAAATATCATTGTTTTATAAAAAGCTTATGTAAAAGAACTGCATGGAAATAAATTAGAATCATTATATCCTGTAAGACTAGTTTTAAAGCTTGTCAACCAATCCGGAGAATTGCAAACTCTTGAAAACTCAAACTCTTGATCTCTTAAGAGTTTTTTCTCAGTCCCGTTGATTTCGAAGTATCTAGAGTTATCGGTACTTAACACATTAAAGGCTGTACATTTATAAGTATATGTATAAGAATATGATCACACATCGTATGTATAAGAATTTTATTACTATTTTTATTAAAATTGTAGCAATACAAGAGTTGTCCAAAAAGTTTTTGGACAATGGTGTTTTTTGTCAAAATGAATGGTTCAATATAGTTTAAAAAGTGAAATTCTAGTATTATATAGGAATCGTTTCCTATGACCTTTAATTAACCCATGAATTAATGAAAAGAGTAATTTTTTATAACATATCTTAATACCATAATTTTTATTTTACTGTAATTTGTGTTTTCATTGTGCAGATGATGATTGGTGTTGAACCTTTAGATTATTATAGAATATTGAATATACACATGTACACCTGACTATCAATCATCCTTTGTATTGTACCACTGATTGGTATATACATAGTTATCCTTTATATTTGTTTTATTTTACAGCACGTAACCGTAGAGATGATGCAATATTCCAGGCCACTTGGTTTATAATTGTAATGGTGGCCATAGCCATTTTGATTTTAGTAATCATCATTGTGTGTTTACTATTAAAAAGAAACAGAGGAGACAAATATAATGGTAGGTACACTAGTAAATTAAATAATGTTAAATATTAAATATTAAAGTAAGAGAATAAATTAATATTGCTTTTAGCTATCATGATCAAAGGCTCCAGCTTTTCTGGTATAAACATTTCAGGTAAATGCTTTGTTTATTTCAAAAAAGTATAAGAAGTACATTGCAACATTAATTCTATTTATTTATTTATTTATATTTTTTGACGGACTCATAAAATTGTCCGCAGACAAGTAAAAGTAAAGAAGCACTAGTCCGGCCAGACCAAAGCCTAAAAATGTTAGTGTCGAACCCTGGCTAGCTAGTTTTCGCTTTAGCCATGCATTTCTGCGATTAAATTGAGTGTCTAAAAAATATTGTCTGTTAATTTGTGTTAAATCAAGGACAACTTTTTAAAATTAGAAATTCTGAGAAAATATTAAGAGGAAATTACTCACAGTGTAAATATTAGCTGTATTCACAATATTTTTTAATCTGTAAAGTCATGGAACAGTGAATATTAAGTTTTCAATTATTTTCTTTGGTTGAAATTATAGTATAAACTATATGCTGCATTTTATTTCCAGAAATATGCATAGCATTTCCGACATATTTTTATTTCATTTCCAACATTTTTTGTTTTCATTTCCGACATAATTTTGTTTTCATTTCCGGAATTTACGCGTGCGGCAATTCAATGTTATTTAAGTAAGTAAAAATGGAATGAATTTTATAAGTATTTTTACAAAATATTGATAAAAATAAAAATAAAAAAAACAACATTTACACAAATATGCATACATGTAGCACCAAGTCTAGGTCAAAGAGTTCAATGAGCATAATGTGCACTAAATTTTATGTCAGTGACAGCACCACACTTATGTCCAAATCATTGAAAGATTTACAAAACTCAGATATATGATTTCAATGATTTATTTATGATTTTTTTCCTTTGAAGTTTTCATAAATCAAGTCTTCAGATCTGTTACTAAAAATACTACATTTGTATTTGAAAAATGTTGGAAATGAAAACAAAAAAATGTCGGAAATGAAAAGTTGATAATTACAAAAAATTCCGGAAATCAAATGCAGCCAAACTATAATAGATTGTTTTAATAGCCCGTTTTCCTTGTGTGATCATTCAAAACACAAGGGCCTTGCATAATTAACATCACCATGTGCAGATGTATTTGTTACCTATCATGCGTAATTGTATGGACATTTGGGTTAAAATTCTGTTTATTCATATATCTCTCAGACTTGCTGTGCATATGAAATGATATAATTTTGCCGACCTACAGTGCTATGACAAAAGTATTCATGATTTTTCCTAATAGCGGACATAAACATGATGTGCTTCGTAAAAAAATTAATAGTGAAACAACAGACTTACCTTTATTAATACTTGGTGAGGTGGCCCTTAGAATTAATTACTGCTAATAATCGACGGGGAATAGATTCATACAAGGATTTAATATAGCTTTCATGGAAGGAAGTCCAGATGTGTAAAATAGCATCAAACAATTCTTCTGGAGTCTTTATGTTTGGAGCTCGATTTTGCAGAGTTCTTTTGATCTTCATAGCCATAAATTCTGTATGATATTAATGTCCTGTGATTGAGCTGGCCATACAATGGTAGGAATATTATTTTGTTGTTTGTAATCTGCAGTAATATGAGCTCTATGGACGGGGGCGTTGTTGATAGGTTTTGTTGAGGAAGACTGTCAGACAGTGACGGGCCAAAGTTTATCTTCTAAAATGGATATGTATTTTAGTGCATTAATATTTCCATTGATCATGCAAAGTTTTCCAACCCCGTGGTAGGTGATGCATCCCCACACCATTACTGAAATCCTTCTTTGCCGAGGGGGGCACATGCGCTGCGGCAAGTACGATTCTTTAGATGTTCTTCACACATACACTCTATGATTCTCTCCTAAAACTGACTTTCATCAGAAAATATTATTGTGTTCCAATAATTATTCACAGTGAGTTTTCTTTTCTCTAAAAACCATGCAACACGCCTTTTTAGCTCACCTGAGCCGAAGGCTCAAGTGAGCTTTTCTGATCAAAATTTGTCCGTTGTCTGTCGTTGTTGTCGTTGTTGTCGTCGTCGTTGTAGTTGTTGTCGTTGTAAACCTTTCACATTTTCATCTTCTCAAGAACCACTGGGCCAATTTCAACCAAACTTGGCACAAAGTATCCTTGGGTGAAGGGGATTCAAGTTTGTTCAAATGAAGGGCCACGCCCTTTTCCAAGGGGAGATAATCATGAATTTGTTAAAAATTAATGGCATTTTAAAAAAATCTTATTCTCCAGATCCGCTGGGCCAGGAAAGATGAAACTCATGTGGAAGCATCCTCAGGTAGTGTAGATTCAAATTTGTTCAAATCATGACCCCCGGGGCAGGGGTGGGGCCAAAATGGCCGACCCAAATTTTACATAGGAATATATAGGAAAAATCTTTAAAAATCTTCTTCTCCAGAACCACTGGGCTAGGAAAGATGAATCTCATGTGGAAGCATCCTCAGGTAGTGTAGATTCAAGTTTATACAAATCATGACCCCCGGGGCAAGGGTGGGGCCAAAATGGCCGACCCAAGTTTTACATAGGAATATATGGGAAAAATCTTTAAAAATCTTCTTCTCCAGAACCACTGGGCCAGGAAAGATGAAACTCATGTGGAGTCATCCTCAGGTAGTGTAGATTCAAGTTTGTTCAAATCATGACCCCCGGGGCAAGGGTGGGGCCAAAATGGCCGACCCTAGTTTTACATAGGAATATATAAGAAAAATCTTTAAAAATCTTCTTCTCCAGAACCACTAGGACAGGAAAGATGAAACTCATGTGGAATCATACTCAGGTAGTGTAGATTCAAGTTTGTTCAAATCATGACCCCTGGGGCAAGGATGGGGCCAAAATGGCCGACCCAAGTTTTTCATAGGAATATATAAGAAAAATCTTTAAAAATCTTCTCCTCCAGAACCACTGGGCCAGGAAAGATGAAACTCATGTGGAGTCATCCTCAGGTAGTGTAGATTCAAGTTTGTTCAAATCATGACCCCCGGGGCAAGGGTGGGGCCAAAATGGCCGACCCTAGTTTTACATAGGAATATATAAGAAAAATCTTTAAAAATCTTCTTCTCCAGAACCACTAGGACAGGAAAGATGAAACTCATGTGGAATCATACTCAGGTAGTGTAGATTCAAGTTTGTTCAAATCATGACCCCTGGGGCAAGGATGGGGCCAAAATGGCCGACCCAAGTTTTTCATAGGAATATATAAGAAAAATCTTTAAAAATCTTCTCCTCCAGAACCACTGGGCCAGGAAAGATGAAACTCATGTGGAATCATCCTCAGGTAGTGTAGATTCAAGTTTGTTCAAATCATGACCCCCAGGGCAAGGGTGGGGCCAAAATGGCCGACCCAAGTTTTACATAGGAATATATAGGAAAAATCTTTAAAAATCTTCTTCTCCAGAACCACTGGGCCAGGAAAGATGAAACTCATGTGGAATCATCCTCAGGTAGTGTAGATTCAAGTTTGTTCAAATCATGACCTCCGGGGCAAGGGTGGGGCCAAAATGGCCGACCCTAGTTTTACATAGGAATATATAAGAAAAATCTTTAAAAATCTTCTTCTCCAGAACCACTAGGACAGGAAAGATGAAACTTATGTGGAATCATCCTCAGGTAGTGTAGATTCAAGTTTGTTCAAATCATGACCCCTGGGGCAAGGATGGGGCCAAAATGGCCGACCCAAGTTTTACATAGGAATATATAGGAAAAAACTTTAAAAATCTTCTTCTCCAGAACCACTGGGCCAGGAAAGATGAAACTCATGTGGAATCATCCTTAGGTAGTGTAGATTCAAGTTTGTTCAAATCATGACCCCCGGGGCAAGGATGGGGCCAAAATGGCCGACCCAAGTTGTACATAGGAATATATAGGAAATATCTTTAAAAATCCTTCTCAATTACCACTGAGCCAGGAAAGATGAAACTCATGTGGAATCATCCTCAGGTAGCGTAGATTCAAGTTTTTTCAAATCATGACCCCCGGCCCTGGGGATAGGGTGGGGCCAAAATGGCCGTCCGAAGTTTTACATAGGGATATATAGGGAAACCTTTTTAAATCTTTTCAAGTACTTCAAAGCTATGATTAGTGATACCCGAGGTATTTATATGGAATCATCCTCAGGTAGTGTAGATTCTAGTTTGTTCAACTGATGAACGCCTGGAAGAGGGGGTGGGGAGTAAATTCAAGCCCGATGTGCTCAGGTGAGCGCTGTGGCCCCTGGGCCTCTTGTTCTGTTGGTCTCTGAAACGACCATTTTTTTTCTAACAACCCTTCTCTTAAAATCATGATCATGTAAAAATCTTTGGACTGTCCATGGATTAACAAAGTCATTATCATCCCTGCTTTCATTAAATTCATTAGTAATGTCCTTTAAAACCCGTCCTCTGTTAGTTTTAGTATGTCTAATAATCCAGTTCTGATCTCGTTTTGACAGCTTCCGAAGGTGTCCTTTTCTTTTCAAAGTTCTGACTTCACCAGTTGACAAATATTTTTTCCAAATAAATTTAATGGTAGACTTTGGTATTCATAATAAATTCACAATTAATGATGCTTTTTGCCCCTCTTTTTTTCATTTCCACAATTAATTTTTTGACATCATTTGATATTTCTGTAGATTTCATACCCATCGTAAACCCTGTGTGTGTTTACATAAAATCCATTAAGACAGCAGACGATAAAAATACTTGCATATAATGTCACTTCCGATGTGAAGACAACTCATAGCGCTGTACCTTAACACATTTTTATCGTCAAGTGTTATCCCTTTGGTAGAAGGTCTAGGATGGTGTACATAGCAATGCATAACGCAATCTAATTAAAATTAGATGTTAGATCTGCTCGCAAACTCGCTACACTAACAATTCTGAATTTTATGGCCCCAGGGTCAGGGGTTCAGGGGTTCTGGTAATAGGGTGGGGCCCTATTGGTTATATAGTGAAAATACA